ATAAAGTCCAAAACATGTTCATGATAAAAACTCTTCAGAAACTCGGATTACATGGTATCTACCTCAGTCTCATAAAGGCCACCTATGACAAACCAACAGCCAACATTATGCTAAATGAACAAAAGCTGAAAGCTTTCACTCCAAAATCAGGAAAAAGACAAGAATGTCCACTATCACCATTCCTATTCAATATAGTTCTGGAAATATTAGCCAGAGCAATCAAACAAGAGAGAGGAATAAAGATAGGAAAGGAAGAAGTTAAATTATCACTATTTGCAGATGACACGATATTGTATATAGAAGACCAAAAAAACTCCATTAAAAAGACTACTAGAGGTAATAAACAAATTCAGCAGTAGAGTTGGATGCAAAGTCAATGATCAAAAATCAATAGCATTCCTGTACACAAACAAAAATTCACTGAGAGAGAAATTACAGAAATATTACCTTTCAAAATAGCATCTAAAAATGAAATACTTAGGAATCAACCTAACCAAGAATGTAAAAGATCTATATGCTGAAAATTATACTACTCTAAAAAAGGAAATTGAAGAGCATATTAGAAAATAGAAAGATATTCCTTGATCTTGGCTAGGAAGAATCAACATTGTGAAAATGGTCATACTCCCAAAACTCTTATACAGATCTAATGCAATTCCAATCATAACACCATTAACCTACCTCACAGATCTAGAGAAAACACACTTAAAATTCACTTGGAAACAGAAGAAACCTAGAATAACAAAGGCAATTCTGGGCAACAAAGGCAAAACAGGAACCATCTCAATTCCTGACTTAAAAATATACTATAAAGCTACAGTGATAAAATCAGCATGGTACTGGCAAAAAAAATAGACCTGAAGATCAATGGAACAGATGAGAAGATGCAAACACAACTACAAAGACACTCAACCACCTGAAATTTGACAAAGGGGCAAAACATGTTTACTGGAAGGATAGCCTCTTTAATAAATGATGTTAGAAAAATTGGCTCTCCACATGCCGAAGACTGAAACTAGACCCATGCCTATCACCATGCACTAAAATAAAGTCAAAAATAGATCAAAGATCTAAATATTAAAACAGAAATACTAAATCTACTGGAAGACAAGGTAGGTAGAAGTCTTGGACACATAAGGGTAGGCAGAGAAATCATGAACAAAATGCAAACAACATGAGAAACACTTCAAAGAATCAACAACTGATATCTCATATTATTAAAAACTTTTTGCACTTCAAAAGAAATCATTAACAGAATGGGAAAGAATTTTAGCAAGCAACCCTTCAGACAAAGGACTTATATCCAGAACATATAAAGAATTGAAATACATCAAGCCCTCCAAATTCAAAGACCCTCTCCAAAAATGGGCATCTGAGATGAACACACATTTCTCATATGAAGATATACAACTGACAAATAAATACATGAAGAAATGTTCGCCATCACTAGTCATTTGAGAAATGCAAATTAAAACAGCACTGAGATTTCATCTCACTAAAGAATAGCTGCCATCAAGAAATCAACTGGATAACAAATGTTGGCGAGGCAGTAGAGAAAAAGGAACACTGCTCCACTGTTGGTGGGAGCCTAGACTGGCTCAGCCACTACGGAAATCAATATGGAGATTCCTCAGAAGACTAGGATTGGAAGTTCCATTTAATCCAGCTATTTCCCTCCTGGGTATTTTCCCAGAAAAACTTAAAAGATCACGCCACTGTGATATATGTGCACCCATGTTAATAGCAGCACAATTTGTAATGGCTAAATCTTGGAAACAACCAAAATACTCATCAACTGCCAGGTGGATTTAAAAAATGTGGTATTTTATACAATGGGATATTACTCAGCTATAAAAAGGATAGTCTTGGGGCCTTTATAGGTAAATTGAGGCAATTTTAGACTATCCTCATAAGTGAAATAAATAAGATCCACATTTGTAAATATCACATTGTCTCTCTAGTGTAAAAAGTAATAAAAACTGTAGGGGTAATAAGCTCCATAAGGTGTCATAGCTATTGTAAAAAAGAAAGGGAAAGAAAGTGCTCTAAAGGATATAACTGAATGAAAGTTTTAAGTATGCAAAATAGATAATCATAATACTAAATTTTGTTGGATCATTGAACAGAACAGTTTGCACTCTCATTGCTTGACTGTCTACTTTTTATGCTTTATTTTATAACTTGAGCAACTATTTCTAAGATGACAATATGTAATTTATCAACAAAAAAAAACAAATTTAGCAATGTAGCAGGACGCAAAGTCAATCACAAAACTCAATAGCATCCTGCACAGCAATAATGAGACCAGCAAACAAGAAAGCAGGAAAATAGTACCATTCTCAATAGCCTAAAGGAAAATTTAAATAGTTAGGAATTAATAGTTAGGAAAGGCCTTTATACTGAACACTTCAGTACTCTGAAAAAGAAGATCAAAGAGAACATCAGAAAATGGAGAGATATTCCTTGTTCCTGGGCAAGCAGAATCAACAATGTCCAAATGGTTGTAGTTTCAAAATTGATACACAAATTTAATGAAATTCCAATCAAAATGCCAACCAGGTCCCTCACAGAACTAGAGAAAGCAATCCTAAAATGTATATGGAACCAGAAAAGAGTAGAATAGCAAAACAAACTCTAGGCAACAGGAGAAAATTTCAGATTTGAAGTTATATTGCAAAGCTACAGTGATAAAAAATAGCATGGTACACACACAAAGAGACATGTAGGTCAACAGAACAGAACAGAGGATAAAGAAACAACACAGAAAATTCAGATGTTTGATCTTTGACAAGGGGTACAAAAACACATGGGAGAAAAAATAGCCTCTCTGTCTTAGTTACTTTATGCTCGTCACTGAGACAAAATACCTGAAGCCCAAGTTGGGAAAGGAAAGGTTTATTTCTTACAGTTTTTGGAGGTTTCAGTCCACACTCAGTTGGCTCCAAGGTAGGCAGGCATGGCCAGGCCTTAGCTCATGGTGGCTGCCAACAGCAAACAGGAACTGGCAAAGAGCAAGACACACCTTCTTCCTGCCATTACATCACATCCTAGCTCCACCCCTATGTGGGTGGAGCACTAACACCATCAATTCAAGCACTATACAATGAACAAATAACAAATGCACAATTCAAACTCATGAGGCCTGGGGGACACAGACATTAACCATGACACTCTCTAATAAATGATGTTAGGAAAACTGGCAATCCACATGCAGAACACTGAACCTAGATCCCTATCTTTTATCATGTACCAATTTAAAATCAAAATGTATCCAAAAAACAATGTTAAAACAGAAATACTGAACCTGCTGGAAGACACACCAAGTGAAACTCTTGATCTCATAGATTCGGGCAAGGACTTCCTTAACAGAACTTCAATTGCACAAGAGAGAGCATCAAAAATCAGCAAATAAGATTGTAACAAATTTTAAAAGCTTTTGCACAGCAATGTAAAATATCAACAGAGTGAAGCAATAACCTCCAGAATGAGGAAAAAAATTTGACAAGTACTTCTCAGAGGATTAGATTAAAATTGTTTTAAAGAAAGTAAGATACCTAAACTAATGTATTGTCTTGAATAAATATCACCATGATTATTTTACAGCTTCCATCAAATATCTCATGGTTCCTGTTAAGCCTTTTTTACTATGGGCAGTACAACAGTCTACACAAGCACTGGTCCATGTGCCACTGTATTTAGACAGAAGTCGCTTAGGACATAGCTTAAGTGGCACTGTATCATTTGTTAGGGTGGGGAAAGTTCATAATACTTTGAAATTTACAAAGAAATAAAAAATATATAAAGAAACTTCTGGTTCTGATCTAAACCATTTGTCAATTTATAAAATTCTACCCAAAACCTGCTAACAATGTGCCAACAAAAAATGCTTCCAGATTTCACTGTTACTGCAGGAGAAACTTAAACCCATATAGTATAAGAAGAACTTGGGATTTGGGAGATATTTTCCACTCCCACTGGCTTGTGCTCCACTCTGTCCTTCACAATTATGAAGTATAAATAATTCCCCAGGTTTCTCAGATAGACTGAGTCATCAACCACAACAGAACATAATGAACCTTTCTGCAGAGCTAGCTAACTCTGTATAACAATAAAGTGAACAAAACATTTTTTGCTCTTGTATCACCAGAAAAGTAACTACTTTTCAAAAAGTCATAAATTTAATAAACTCTGTCCATCTAAAGAAAAATAAATCACAGAGATTTTTTGGAAACTATTTATACTATAGATACTCTTGTTATGAGAAAGTGATGTGCTAAACATTGAAACTTGAACATGCATCGAATTTCAACTATTATTTTAGGTCCCTCCATATTTTTAAACAAGCAAACTACTATTACTTCCAGGGAAGAAGAAAATTATTTTTGTTGGTTTACCCCTGAAGAAGAGCCCACAGCATATAACCCTCCAAAGTTGCCTATATTCTTTATGCCAATAAAAATTTATAATTTAAAAATGAATAAATTCCAGCAGTCTAGCCAGGCATGGTAGTGCATGCTTGGCTACCCAGCACTCAGGAAGCTGAGGCAGGATGATCACTACAAATTCAAGACCAGCCTGTGCTCCAAAGTGAGCTCAAGGCTGGCCTGAAGTGCATAGCAAGACCCTGTCTCCAAAAAAAAAAAAATGTCAACAATCTGATTTTTAATCAGGTGATGTTTGTTTGAAGCAAGGATTGCTTTTTGTACCAAACTACTTTAACAAACAAGCTAGATTTTTTTCTTTCCATTGAAAGACTTCATTCATCTATCAGATTGCTGAGTCTTATTTTACATCTTTAAATGATACCCCACTTTATATTTTGAACCATTAACATATTTATACTATGAAACATCCATATATATTTTTAAATGAGGGATCTATCCTTTAATTCTACAGATGCCCAGTGTTTAACGAAAGACAAAGTAGAGGAAATTAAAAATTAAGGCCCAAACCACAACACATTTCTTATGCTATAAAAATACAACAATGTATGAACAGACCTTTTAATCATGTTTGGAGGTTTAGATAACTCTTCACACACAACTGTAAGTTTTTCAAATTTCAGTCCCTTCTTCAGTTTCATTTTTTTTTCCTTGGGGTAAACAACATAAGTAATGCCAGCTTGTTTCGATGCCTCAATGAGAGAGAGAGACAGATGTTTTGAACTGCGTTCTTCCTGAATGGTGGCGTCTAAAATGACATCTCTATTTTCTTTCACAGAGGTGGGAGGCACTTTGGTTTTATTTTGCTCAGCAAGTTGGTGCTCCAGCTGCTTTGCTTTCTGGAACAACAATGCTTTTATGTTGCTTTGCAGGTCATCCTTGATTTCTATTGGTGAAATGGCCTCCTCCTTCCTCAATGTGACTTCAGATTTTGCTCTCTTAATAAAGAAAAACAGGTTAAAAATATACATATATAAGATCAATATAGTTGCTCTGATTTTAAAAGTAATTTAGTTACAGTTACTATTGATGCATTTTGGATATTTTATTGAAACTTGCTTAAATTATATATTTTTAAGATTACTCAAAATTCAAATTACAAAGTTAATGATGGGCTTAGTTAAAGCATGCACAGAAATCTGGCCATGTGACTGTTCATTTGCTATAAACACACACTATAAAACAGATACATATTAATTGTTATTTAATACATTTTTACTTGAGAGAATGACCTCTATATACCCAAATAAAGTAGATATTCTATTTTTACTCTTTTTTTTTATTCCTCTTTTTTTTTTTTATCTTTTTATCGGTACCGGGGATCGAACTCAGGACTACCTGCTTGCAAGGCAGGCACTTATGCTGCTGAGCTAAATCCCCAGTCCCTTCTACTTTTACTCTTAATACAAACACTTGGCAGAGTGGCTAAAAACTACTATAATATCTTATTCTATTAAAATCAGTTTGCAGGTGGGATCAGTAGCCCAGCCATGTGGGAAAGTCTGAGGCAAGAGTAAGATTACAAGACACTGTATCCCAAGGGCCACGCAGGGACAGTGGTTGATGTGTGAGGTAAACGTACTGTGCTCCAACGCAGAAACATGCAGAACAGAAGCAGGAAGCCAGCGCCACCGGCTTATTTCAAAGGGCTCACTATGAGCTTCAGCAACAGAATAGTCCCAGGCTGCTTAACTGCCAAAGTCCTGCAGTGCAATGAGGGAAGAGCCACCAGTCATTGTAGATGGCCAGCAGCTAGGAAGCAGACATGGGGGATTATGCTGAGAAGTAGGAGCTGGGACCAACTAGACTGTGCTCCAGTGGCCAACAAAAGCCAGTCTTAGCACTAAATATAAAGGACAGGAAGTGTACCCCTGGTCTGCGGCCAGCAGGGCAGCCTCAGCCCAGTAGCACAAGCAAGCAAGCAGCCTTGGCCTGCAGCAGGACAAGTGTACTCTTCCTTCCCAATGGCAGTCAGCGTATAAGAGGAGTCACTGGTATACCGGGTGTGGTGGCTCACGCCTGTAATCCTAGCACTCGGGAGGCTGAGGCAGGAAGATCGTTGAGAGTTCGAGACCAGCCTGGGCTACAAAGTGAGCTCAAGGCCAGCCTGAACTGTATAGTGAGATCCTGTCTCAAAAAGACAAAAAGACAAAAAAAAAAAAAAAAAGAGGAGTCACTGGTGTGGAACAGAGGAAGGGCTTCTGAGCACAGGTGTAGGGGCCAACCCCGGGCTCTCCCTACCAAAGGGTGCCACAGCAACTGGGAGCACTGTGTACACCGTCGTGGTAAGAAGAGCATATCCAAAATGCTGTCAGCTTCAGACCAATCCCACACTCCAAACCCAGAGGCCAACATCACGCCCATCCCCAGCACAAATTCTATTGCAAATCTGGCGGGATTACACAGCATACTTCTGGGATCTGATTTGGACATTAGCATAGAACTTTGGACAACAGAAAAATTTTATTATTTTTCTTTCTCATTGTTTGACTGGTTTTACTTTTTTCTGTCTGGTTGGGGTTTTCTTTGTTTTCTTTTTTATTTTGTTTTATTTAATTTTTTCAATATTTGGGTTTCTTACCTTGCTTTTTGTTTTTTTTTTTTTTTTCTATTCATCTTCTTTATCTCTTTCCTCAACTATCTCTTAATTTTTCAGTATTTTCATGTGAGTAAACATTGTCTCTTTCTGTTTCACTTCAATATTCTTTTGCTTTCACTTTCATTCCTCCTGGTTCTTGTTCAGTTTCTCAAAGATTATGTAGTCATCTTTTTCCCTCTACCCTTGCTTCTCCTATATTTTTCCACATCCACCTCTCTGTTTTGCCCCCCCCTATACCTCTTAAATCTCCCTCAAAAAGAGAAAAATCACTCTATTAAGGGTAAACTCATTGCAGATAAGTTTCTCATACATGCCAAATTTTGTTATATAACTGCAGGACTTGCTCCTATGATTAAAAGTGTCAAGTTAATAGATACCACAGTGTGACAGTAGCTAGGTTGTGCTTGATGCTATTGCTAACCCTACTACTTTAGTCAGAATGTCATACCTGTTGTGATCAGTTTATCTCCCTTGTATGACAACACTGTGACAGTCTGGGGTCACAACCATTACCATAGTTCAATAGCAAATGAGAGGGTGCTGAGCCAAATAGAGAGTGACTTCTCATTCTTAATAAATTGGGAATGCAGGTTCTTAGGATAGACACAGAGAAAAAGAACCATGTACATTTAGAAGACACTGATGAGGAATAAACTTTCCTAAGGAAGCCTTGATACTTGTGATAAAGCTATTTACCATAAGAAATCTACAGACATTAAAACACAAAACAAAATAAAATGAAAAACTAGTGGCAAGATGCAAAAGCAAAATGCAACCTAAGACCTCTAGCCCACAAAGGTCAACTCCAAACCACAATGAAACAGAGAAAATAGGAAGCCACCAACTGCAACTTTCTGAAATGATACTAGCAGAAGTTAAGAAAAGGGATGAGGTTATAGGAAAAATAATCTCTCAGGTAAAAAAATGAAATAACTATCAAAATGAAAGACAAAGCAAACCAAAAAAAAGTAGAGGACCTTAGAAAAATGATGGAAACCATGAATGTCTAACACAGGAAAGGAATGGAATGCATGAAACGGATCCAAACAGAAATACAGTAGATTACAATTTTCATTGAAAGTATACACAACATGTTGAAGGAAAGCAAGGATAGAACATCATATCTAGAAGACAGGATTGTGGCTAGTGACCATGAAAAGAAATATATCTTAAATATAGCAATAGACCATGAGAAATTAATCCAAAAGCTGCAAGATAAAGCAAAGAAAAACAATGTAATTTGATCAGAGAGAATGAGAAAGGTAAAGATAGAGCAAAAGTCATTTTTTAAAAAACCTCTTCTCAGAAGTAATGCAGAAAAATTCCAAAACATGGATAAAGAATTGGACATACAAATAAGTGAAGCATATAGAACTCCAAATAGCCATGACCACGATAAATATACACTATGGCATATAAAAATAATCAAAATTCCAGAAATTCAGAATGAAGACAGAATAATAAAATTGGTTAGAGAAAAAGAAATAAATAACTTACAAAGGAAAGCTAGCTCATCAGTATCACAGAAAAATTCTCAACACAAACCCCCAAATCAAGGTGAGCTAGGAGTGAAGTATCTCGAGTCCCTAAAAGAAAACAATTTCCAACCCAGATTGATATCCCTGCAAAACAATCCTTAAAAACATCAATGGAGAAAGAAGATACTTCTGTGACAAAGAACAACTGAAAACATTCATAACCATCAAACTAGCTCTCCAAAATGCTCTAAGGAATTTTTAAAAAGAAATAATGAAGACCACAATTCTAAGAACATCAACAGAAAAAAGCCACCAAGTAGGGCAAAAAATTAAATTAGAGAAAGACAGGGAACCATCAACAAGAAAATGATATGAGAGGGATAAGTCAATACATATCAGTTATAACCATGAAAATGGTCTCAATTCACTAACCAAAAAGAGTGGCAAAATGAATCAAGAAACAAGATCCAACAATATGTTACATATGAGAAACATACTTAACTTAAAAAAATTCATAAACTGAAAGTCAAAAACAATACTGCATGTAATGGTAACTCAGAAAAAAGCAGAAATAGCAATTCTATTTATAGAAAATATAAACTTCAGTCTAGATTGACAAGAAAAGTCACTATATGCTTGTTAGGGGAAACTCCAAGAGGAAGAAATAGCAATCATAAATATACATGTATCTAATATCAGTCGATCCAACTACATAAAACAAATATTAATATACATGAAAAATCAAATAAGCACTAACACAACTGTAATGGGGGATCCTAATACCCTACTGTCATAAATAGTCAGATCAACTAGATAAAAAAAATCAACAAAGAAATGCCAAAACTGAACCAAACCTGTAAACAAAGGAATTTAGTAGATGTCTACAGATGGTTTTGCGGTATGACATCAACATTCTTCTCAGCTGTGAATGGACCATTCTCCAAAACAGACCACATAATAGAGCACATAAAATATGCTTAAGTAAATGCACAGGAATTGAAATTATCCCATTCATATTAGCTGATCACAGTGTAATTAAAGTGTATAATAATGGCAAAAGAAACCACATAAATACATAGAAATTAAATAACATCCCAGTGAACAACCAATGGGTCACAGAGGAAATTAAAGAAGAAATTAAACAGTATCTACAATTAACTGATAATGCCAATACAAACATATTGGAACATAATGGAACCCAATGAAAGCAGTCCTAAGAGGGAAATTTATAGCAGTAAATTCTTCTACCAGGAATATGGAACAAGCTCAAATGAACAACTTAATGTTGAATGTCAAACTTATACAAAAAGAAGAAGAAATCACTCCGAGGCTTACACTAGGGAAGAAATTAAAATAGGAGCAAAACTTAATGCACTTGAGGCTAAGAAAACAATATAAAGAATCAATAAATCAAAGAGTTGGTTCCTTGAAAGATTAAATAAAACTTAAAAACCCTTAGCCAATTTTATCAAAAAGAGGAAATAAAAACTCAAATTCATGCAATTAGGAACAAAAAGGTAAAAATCACAAATACTGTAGACTTCCAGAAGATCAACATTACCTATTTTTGGAAACTGTTTTAATAAGATGGAAAATACAGAAAAAAATGGAAAAATTTCAAGACACATATGAATGGCAAAAGCTGAATCAAGAAGATATACAAATTCTAAATGATCTCATATCAGTCAATGAAATTAAAAATGTAATTTAAAAGTCTCCAACAAAGAAAAGCCCAGGTCCTGATGGATTCACTGCTGAATTCTACAAGAAATTTAGAAAAGATCTAATGCCACTACTGCTGAAACTCTTTAATAAACCTGAAAAGGAAGTAACACTCCCAAAAATCATCCTTAGAATCAAGTTTTATCCTGATACCAAAGCCAAAGAAGGACCCAAGAAGAAAAGACAACCACTAATCTCCTTAATGAACTGAGATGCAAAAATCCTCAGTAAGATACTGGGAAACAGAATTCAGAAAATCATCAAGAAAATTATACACCATGGCAAAGTAGGATTCATCCCAGGAATGCAGAATGGTGCAACATATGCAAATCAGTGAAGTAACACACAATTATCAACAGAGCCAAAGACAAAAACCACATAAACATCTCAATAGATGCAGAAAAAAGCATTTGACAAAGTTCAATACCCATTAACAACAAAAACCCTATAGAAAAATGGAATAGATGGTCTTTATCTTAATCTGATAAAGGCCATCTATGACAAACTCACAGCCAACATCATGCTAAATGATCACAGGCTTCAAGTTTTTACTCTAAAATCAGGAAGACAAGGGTGTCCACTGTCACCACTTCTATTAAGTGTATTTCTGGAAACAGAGCAATTAAACATGAGAAAGGAATAAAGCTAGGAAAGGAAGAAAATGAATTATCGTATTTGTGGATGACATAATACTCTACATAGAAGAACCCAAAAACTGTACCAAAAGACTTCTAGATTTAATAACCAAATTCAGTAGTGTAGCTGGATATAAGGTCAACACTCAAAAATCAATAACATTTCTGTACACAAATAATAAAGTCACTGAGACAGAAATTAGGGGAACCACACTTTTCACAATAGAATCCAAAAAAAATGAAAAACTTAGGAATAAGTCATATACAATCAATTACAAAGGAAGTAAAGATTACACACTGAAAATTATAGTCTCTGGAAAAGGAGATCAAAAGAGAATGTCAGAAAATGGAAAGATATTCCTTGCTCATGATAGAAAGAACCAACACTGTGAAAATGGTCATACTCCAAAAATTGTTGTACAGATTTAATGCAATCAAATCAAAATACCATAGGCATAACTCACAATAATAGGGAAAACTTTTCTAAAATTCATTTAGAAACAGACGAGACCTAGAATAGTGAAAGCAGTTTGGGGCAACAAAGGCAGGCAGGGGGCATCACAAGCCCTGACTTGAAATTATACTACAAAGTCACTGTGATAAAAATAGTACAGCACTGTCAAACAAACAAAAACAAAAATGAGGATCAGTGGAACAGATTAGATGACACAGACACAACTGTAAACATACTCACCCACCTTATCTTTGACAAAGGGCCAAACATATTCACTGGAAGAGTCTCTTGATAAATGGTGCTGAAAAACTGGCTTTCCTCATGCCAGATAAAAACTAGACCCATGTCTATCACCATACACTAAACTAAAATTAATGTAGATCAAAGACATAAATATTAAAATAGATACTAAACTGTTGGAAGAGAATAGGCAGAACTCTTGAAGGCATACGTATAGATAAAAGTTTCATGAACAAAACACTGATCACACAGGAAATAGTACAAAGTATCAACAACTGGAATCTCATCCTATTAAAAAAAAACTTTGCAAAGCAAAAGAAAGTAAATAAACAAGACACCCAGTGGAAAAAATTTTAGCCAGTTGCCTCTTAGACAAAAAGACTAATATCTAGAACATAAAAACTGAACTGAAATAAATCAAGACCCTCAAAGATCCAATTCAAAAATGGGCATTTGAGATAAATGCACATTTCTCAAATACAGAAATACAAATAGCAAATAAATGCATGAAAAATTGTTCAACATCACTGGTCATTCAAGAGTTGCAAATTAAAACAATGCTAAGATTCCATCTCATCCTTATAGAATGCATACAGTCAAGAAATCAACAATAACAAATGTTGGAGGTGTTGTAGAGGAAAAGGAACCCTTTTCCACTATTTGTGTAGACTGACACAACCAATATGGAAATCAATGTGAAGCTTCTTCAGAAAAACTAGGATTGGCATCCCATGATCCAGTCATTCATCTTCTGGGTATCTTCTCAGACAAATAAAAAATACCAAACCACAGCGATATACGTGTGCCTGTGTGTAATGGTTGCACTGTTTGAAATAGTAAAATCTTAGAAACGATCCAAATGTCCTTCAACTGAAGAATGAATAAAAATATGTAGTTTTTTATACAATGCAGTATTACTCAGCCATAAAGAAGGATAAATTTGAGCCACTTCTAGGTAAATGGATACACCTTAAAACCATGCTCATGTGTAATAAATGGGGCATGCATGCATAAATATCACATTGTCCCCCTGGTAAGAAAAACTAAAAGAGTAAATAAGGACCAAACTGTACAATACATACTGTGAAATAGGAAGAAATTGTTCAAGAAGAAAGAAGAACCAAGGTGGGGGTGGGGTGGGAAAGGAATAAAGGGAAAGGGAAAAATGATAAAGAAGGATAAAGTGGAAATGAAGCTTTGTAAATAAAGAGAGGAAGAAGGTTTAAAGGGAGGGAAGGTAAACGGGAAAAAAAAAGAAATCATGCTATATCATCTACAGGTATAAATTCCCTATGACCATTATATACATCTAAATTGCACCAGTAAACTTAACAAAAACAATAATAAACATGCAACTGCTTAAAATAAAAATTAAGTTAAATTTCTATATTAAAAATCACATATGTTCTACAGTAACTTTCAATTGATTATTTATAAGATTAACAGTAACAATATAATTATAGTATCCATTTTATCTAGTAATTATAGAATTAAACTAGTTTAACCTTATTATTATTTACTATTCTAGTATTCATAATTACAAATAAGTAGTAATAATTATATGTAATTTTAGGAACTCTAATGTTAATAACAAATGATAAATCCTTTCTATTATTTTTTATCCTCTGCCTGACCTAAATTCCAAAAAGAGCAATTTCATATAAGCTAGTCATGCAAAAGTTAAGATGTGCTAAAGTACAACAGAAATATTGACCGTTCTTGACTTACTGTTCTTCTCCACCTCGGGAAATTATATTTTACTGAAAATGCAATTAGAATCAAGAATAGAGTACAGAATACATTTGTGTGCTTTTAAAAAAAAAAGGCATAAAGTGCCAGGCACAGTGGCACATGCCTGCAATCCCAGCACTCAGGAGCCTGAGGCGGGAAGATTGCCATGAGTTCGAAGCCAGCCTGGGCTACATAGTGAGTTCAGAGCCAGCCTGAACTGCATAGCAACACCCTGTCATAAACAAATAAACTAACTTATCTTTAAAAGCATAAAGTGATTACTATTGATAGAAATATAAATATTTTTTGGACACTAAAAACTGAAAAGTTACAATACCTTCTGTTGTGTGGAATGTTGACAACTGACATGTTGGATATTTTCAGATGATATACATTTTCTTAGTAAGAAAGCCTGTGAAATAATCAAGTGAGAAATATATATTAGCCAGATAATAACTGTTTATGTAAATTAGCGCAATACAGAAGTAATCATTAAAATGTAGTTTCTTGCTGTTTTTGAAATAACTGGCTTCATAGAGAAAAACAGAACTTGAAATCCACCAATTAACTTAGCAAAGTGTATAATAATGAAAATTTTCCTATTCTTAAAATTCAACGTGAAATAATACACATCAAGCACCTACAATGTGCATGGTGCTATAGTGCAAAACTTCCCATGTAACATAAGTGGCACAGGTGTTCATCAATGGGCCATAAATTTACTGAGCCTTGGGCCTGCACCAGTGGGACCTTGGACAGCCACTGTCCCCTAATCAGTTGTCGCTATCATAAGCTGACCTTTTACTTCAACAACACACACAAATAAGACCACTTACTATAATAACACCAAGATTAACGTTACTACCTTAAAAGCACTGGAATGAAAACTATCCAAAATGAAAAGTACAAAAAAAAGGACAAAGTTCCATGCCCTTGGACAGTGTATACAAACAGCAGTAAATATATCTTTATTTATTTGGAATGACTGTAAAAATGGCATAAATCAAGTGCAAAAAGAGTGCCGGGAGAAGGGAATTCTGAACAGGTAAGAACTCCGCGCCCCACGAATAGGGGTAGCATTAGAGTTGTGTAAAGACAGCAGCCTTCTTACAGACTAAAAACAGTCTCCAGGGGAACAGTCTCCACAAGCACTGAGAAATGTCATAGTGACAGCAATCTTAGTCCACAAGGACTATGATACAGGCAAGGTGCAGACTGGAAGATACAAAGAGCTTATGCAGAAATGTAAGTATAATGGAAGGAACAAAATACAGCTGAGATCAGGGAATGAGTTTGAGTTAGGCCCTGTGCCTTCATTTAGTTTTGCAGGCGTTATTAAGTTTGTTGAGACACAACTGACATAATCATACCTGCATTGTAAAACTACAGCAAAATACACTGCAAAGAGCAGCTTCTAAAACTCAGAATATGTGATAAGTGCAAGTTCTTCCACTACAATCTAGAAAGTGTAAATGGCTTTGCAATCTAGAAAATGTCACTTCTTGGTTTATTTTAAGTGACAGTCACTGCTGTAAGTCCTGTAAGTAAAACAGTAAGTGTGAATGTGTGACCTCAGGCGAGCAAGGAAGAAAACAATCAACTACACATATGGACAACCATTTGATAAGTGCTACAGAGAAGGCATAAAAATAGTGACAACATGAAAAATACCACTAGCTCTCTGCAGAAAAGAGCACATTTTCCCCCTCTATGGGGGAATGAGGAAGGACACACAGAAACATATGTAAACCAATTAGCTGACCAGAAAAGGGGTGTGATTTGTTTTGGGGCCCCTTTTCTCTACTATGTGGCAATTCAAGGTATCATCAAGCACTAATGCAAGAAAAACAAAATGATTTCCTGTTACCCATAAAGTTCAGGGCACTAATAAACCAATTCTATAAATATCATTACTCTCTCACTTCAATCACTATTTCCTTTCTCTCTAATAATACTTATTACTTGATAAACTTAGATACACTTTCATAGTACTGAAGTCATGAGTATATATGCAACTAATCATCACTCAGGGCATTAAGTTTTATTCTGCTATATGTCATAATCAGCTTTGCCATTTTTCCAAAAGGATCATAAACATGTTCCATTAGCCATTTAATCATTCCTAGGTAAGAATGAGCAGAAAAACTGGAAATTTTAAGAAAAACTAACAGAGGCTATTTTCCCTCTGATTAATGAATACTGTCTTCTTGAGTGTCATAAAGACAGCATTCTTGAGGGAAAAAAAAAAAGAAATGTGTTCTCAACAAATATATTGATTGGTCTAAGCCATTTTCCAGAATAATATGTATCACATAATAATTTTTGGAATTAATAGAAATAATTTCTGAGCTGTGTACAGATATAGTATCCAACCCACCCTTCAAAACAAAAAAAAATCATACATACCGGAAAATTGCTACTCTCATACAAAATGACATTTTCCTTGCTGCCAGCTAAAAATTTCTTATTTAAAATTCTACTTGTTTGAACACTCTGTAATTTAAAAAAAAATTAAATTACATCGTACAATACTTTTTAAATACTATAGTTGCTATTACTTCATAGTACAATAATTTTACCAAAGTAAAAAAATCTATATAAGAGATAGAATTCTAGAAAACACTGTCCAAAAATAGATTAAAACCCAGCTACAGTCCTAGTACTTGACACAAACCTACAATTTGTCTTCAGCACCGGCCTTTGGCCAAATAATTCTATATTATGTTGGGCATCTTTAATCATAGGAGTGATCACTGATCATACGATTCTCATAAGACAGCAATGAGTTTACTTAGAATATCAACATTAGGATTATAAATAAGACATTTTTGGTGGATTGGCAACTGGTGGTCAGCTTGCAACACCCAGCTGAACTCAATCAGTGAGGCATGATTGTGTGTGGATGGCTCACCTAAGGATTGTTGCCAATGACATAAAAAACAGGAAAGGGGAGGAAAAAAATGGTGGTGTTGGTTCTCCTATTGCTGTTGGTTCTCCTAAAGGAGCTTATCGAGCTTCTTTCCTGATATGAACTTGGCTGTTCTCATTGTCAGAGGAGCTTGAGACCTTGTTGTCCCTGAGAATGACAGCAGTTCACCTGGGGGACAGCTGATCCTCACTTTGAGCATTGCTTTCTGGCTCTGGAGGGGAAGACGGTGTGCTGTTCAATCTGCTAGAGAAGTTTGTATTAATGACTTTCCTGAAATAAACTTGGCTGTTCTCATTGTTAGAGGAGCTTGGAACCTTGCTGAGACTGAAGATGGCTATGGTACTTTTTAGGAGAGCTCTAATCCTTACTATGAATATCGCTTCCTGACTGCAGTGCAGAACCCTCAGCCTATGAGCACAGATCCTTCATCCCATTGATGCAAACTTTCAAGCTTTAATCATTGACCTTTGGGCAATGCCAGCACAGATCAATGAAGCGGACTTGCATGAAATACTGTCGTGGGCTCTAGGCCTCCAGTTGGACTTGTAGGGGGCACTGTCTGGGCTCTAGGTCTCCAGCTAAACTTATGGAGGACATTGCCATAGGACACATATCCTCAGATGGATTCTTAGGGTCTTTACTGTGTGTACAGATTTTCCAAATTTTTTTGTCTATTTGACTCTTTGGGTGATTATTGTAAAATAATTCTTTAAATTTTATATCCTTATTAAATTGTTTTCCTTGTGAACTCTGATGACAACAAATATTACCTGGATTTATTATCAATAAATGACTATTCATTTTCAAATACAAGTATTCTAATCATAAATTTGAATGAAAATCTACTTAATATCCTTAACTTTGAATTCTACCATGCAACTAAGATATATTTAATATAGATATATTTATTGTTTTCAGAATAAACTATTACAATAATAATGATCATTAAATTCATTGTGATTAGGACATACTGAAACAACTAGAAGACCTAAATTTGACAGCTTGGTAGATTCATGATAACTTAAGTCATGCTGTTCCTTTAGAGATAAATTTAGGAAAAATGTTAAAAAAAGAAATGGAAGTTATAGTCAAAAATAATAAAGAATATAAGGATAAAACAGAAGGTACCACTGAAATCATAATTGGCAGGATAAAACAAATATTCCAGTAATCACAAAATATAAAAAGTTAATTTATTTTAAAATTGAAGCAAACAATTTTTAAAATACCTAAATATCACTTCCCATTCAAAGAAACCAGAAGTCTTTAAAGCAAAAGTCTGATTCCATTCCTATAAATAGAACTAATGAGCCTGAGTTATCTGTAGCTGGAAATTATTGTTGGATCCTTTTACTCCTGAACAATAGGAATGTACAATCTCCAGTACTTATTTTCTTTTGAAACTCTTTTCTAGTGGGTTACTCCATGATCACCAATTCTCACTAATTCTACTCTTGTTACGATTTCTACCTCTTTTCCAAAAAGTTTGCCTAATCTTAATTTCCTACACTCACACATTCCCATAAATTGAGATGGCAAAATTCACCTGTGGCTGTTATAAGGAAACATATATTTTAAAAAGCACGGTAGCATGCTGGCTAGAGAGAACCAGGAAGGAACACCACCCTCACCACCACCACCACCCCCAGCATGAGCAGCCAGTGTACAGGCTGGAAAGTAAAGCCTACCACCCTCCATAAGCAACCAGCTGATTCGGAGGAACACAGGCTGAGATAGTAACAACTGAAGTAAAGAAGCAAACTAATGCTTGCTTGTTCCATTGACTTCACATACACAAAACTGGTACTCTGAGTAACTATTTAGAGGCTAATCATATGCTTAGAGTAGCAATTGTGAATTTCCTACTGTTTTATCAGTTTTTTGTTTCATTTTATTATTGTTTTATTCCCTTTAAAATAAAAAGTATTGTAGACATCTGACACATTCTTTACTATCAGTTCAAATAGAATCAGAAGACACTAGCGAAGGATAAAGACATGGAATAGGCAGAGAAAACTTCCAACCACAATGCAATTCTGACATATGTGGAAATGAATAAGAAAGAACTGAATGGAAAGAATTTCAGATCACTGAGCAGTTCTAAGAAAGAATCAGTTGGGCAAATAGAAGGTCTCAAGCCAAACCAATCCCACATCAAGCAGAAATGGATCAGCTCTGTTACCAAGCTTTTGTTTAGTCACAGGCTGGGAGCAAATCAAAGGGATGAATGCCACCGTAGCTGTACATGCTAGCAGTCAAGTACTCTCATCTTAGCAGATTCTCTCAAAATAGAAGTGAGCTCCATTTTCCCATGGATGCTATACCTACTTATGCATATTATTATTTACCAACATTTTGTATTAAAGCAACCTTTTTAAATATTTTGTGCTATTAACCTTCTCTTTTTAGCTCATAGCACCTGCATACAATTTTTCTCAAGTAAATGAAAACATTAGTTAGCACTTTAAAAAAATAGGAAAATGCAAATACTCATACTAATCTTCAAAACTCCAAATATACATACACTTGGAACAGGAATTTCAAACAGAAAAATATGCATGCAAAGATACATGATCAAGTATATTTTAAAAAATAAGGTGCAGAACAATATAAATTACAATTCCATATATGCAAAAATATTACTTTGCATGACATAAAAGGCAATAAAAATCCATAAATATACACACAGAATGCAAAAGTGGTTAACTTCAGGAAGATGAGAACTGGAGAGCACTTTAAAGCTGAGAATGTTCTCCATGCTACATTCATCGTTGTTATTTGAACTTTTACTACAAGAACCACTACTTATACAACTTATGCATTAGACATGGGACAATTTCATAATGATAGTTTAACAAAAGACAACACTTTTAAACTGAAACTACAAAAGAATTCTAGAAAGGGACTTCCAGAAAGATGGTCGAGTGATAAGCACCAAAGAAAGAGCTTCTCTGAAATACAGTGTCTATAGACACTGGAACATAGCAACGTGACAAACAGAAGAATGAGGGAAGTGAGTCCCTGGGACACAAGAAAGATCTGAAGTGAGAACCAAAGCCCATGGGGATAGGGAAAAGAAAAATTTCAGTGAAGAAGGAGGTAATAGGTAGTACTTTCTCCCTGAGCCCAGACTCATTGTGTAGCAGGGGCAGCTTGAACATGAAGATGCATGGTGTCTTCTGCAGACCCCAGAGGCCTCCATGGAGAAACACACCAGTGGAATGGAGCAGTGGAGGCAGTGGGCCTCAGTGGCCAGAGAGTCATTTGAGTTCAGGTATCCCACACAGGAAGGCAATAGGCTGGGAGTCATCTCAGAGAAAGGTGAACCAATCTAGGAAGTCAGAGCAAATGCTGATTCGAGCTGGCAGACACCCGAGTTCAAGGTGGCAGAAGGCACACAGACTGCTACAGGCTAATGAGTATGGTTCCAGCCTCACAGCCAGAAACCAGCCTGAACTTCTGCGGAAGTAAAGGTCCAAGCTCACCAAATTATCCACTACTCTGCTGTAAAGCTACAGCTGGCTTGCTGCAATTAATCAACTCGAATCTGGACTCTGTCTGCTGACTGTATCTAAAGGGACTGCAGAGACACATCTCGAGATGGACTTTTTTTTAATTTTCTTTTTAGTTTTTTTCTCTTTCTCTCTTTTTGTTTTGTTGTGTTTTGTTTTTTCTTCATGGTTTGTTTCTGTTTTTATATGAGTGTGATCATGGTTGCTAGTTTTTGTTGTTCTGTTGTGCTCTTGTTTTTATTTCTTTTTTCTGTTTTTTCCTCCTGTCATCTTCACCAGTTTCTCAAAGTTTGTGTAATCTTTCTTTGTCCTCTAGCCTTGCTGCTAATCTCTGCCTCCTCTTTTAATCTGTATTTTACCCAACCTCTTTTAAATTTTCTCCCGTAAGGGTAAAACTGCCATGTTGAGGACTTGTGTACTGCATACGATTTTCTAGTTCATTTTAGATTTCATTGCATGACACAAATCTAGTCCATACAGTTAAAGGTGGCACATTAACAGTTACCTGTTTGTCATTTTCTAATCTGTTTGATACTATTGTTATTGCTGATTGCATCACTTTAGAATTTAGACCAATTGGCCTAACTAGTTGTTTTTCCTGGTGTACTAAGACTGAGATTGCCTAAGGGTCATAAAAAACACTATAGGCAAATGCCAAATAACTAGGGGCTGGGCCCAGGGAGCAAGAAACTTCTCAATAAACAGAAGAGGCAGGATCTTCCAAAAGACCAAAAACCCAAAAGCCACCTACACCTATAAGACAGCTTTGAGAAATAGTCATTTCTTAAGTGTTCTAAGGCCTAGCAATAGTCACTTAACCTAGGCAATTTATACACATCGACCTAGGAACTAAACTAAAAATAAAAAAATAGAAAATGAGAAGACACTTAAACAAGATGTAACACCAGACCTCTAGTTCACAAAAAGCCAAGCCAGGGGACAATGAGGTGGGACAATCTTAAAGACACCCACTTTAAGTCTCTGAAGTGGTAACATTGGAAATAGCAATCCTAAAATTTACTTAAAACTAGAAGAGGCATAGAAGAGCAAAACCAATTCTAGGCCACAGACAAAGCAGGGGCATCACAATCTCTGACCTGAAATTATATTACAAAGCTACTGTGATAGAAACATCATGGTACTAGCAATAAAATGGGCCCAAAGATCAATGGAGTAGATTAGAATATGCAGAAACAATAAAATGTAATATCATAAGCAGTTATACAATTCAGTTATTATTAACAATACAAACATAGAAAACCCATTCAATACATTACCTCATATTGTGGATATATAGTTTTCTTTATGATACACTCTGGAACAGCAAATTTGGGTGCAGCTGGATTCCAAAACATTTTTGTACATCCTGGATAAGCAGACATCTTTAGAAATAACATAAAAAATAGAGATAGCAATAAATAGTCTCTAGGACAAAAAAAAAAAAAGCCCAAACCTGTCCTGTCCAACTTGTTTCTAGTTGCTCGCAGTGTGATCTAATTAGTTGCATACTCTCTGATAACAACGGAAAGATGACATCCAAATCCATCAGATTAGGAGAAATCTAAAGCCAGCAATACCAAGACCCTAAGGGACTGGGAATATGAATAAAACTGTATTGGAGGAAAATTGGCCATTTGTATAAAATGTGTATTCCACATGTTCCAGGAACTTCACTTGCAGCTATATATTCTATGCAAATTCTCACACAAGCACATTGATAAATATGCATGGACTATTCATGGAAGAAATGAATAGAAAAGCAGATAAATAAAATCTGGTGTATTTATACAATTAAACACTATAAAGCCATTAAAACACAGAATTTATGATACATATATAGATCTTAGAAACATAATATTGAGAAAATAAGGAATTTTAAGAAAGACACAAATAAAATTGACATTTATATAAATTTAGGTACAATAAACAGACCTGTATTATTTGTTTAGGATAACAAATACATTTAGTAAAATATGAACTTATAAGTTGAAAACACCACAATTACAACAAAAACTATCTTTGGATAGAGATGAAGAGAAATGAAATTAGGAAGTAGTACAAATAACTTAATAATTTATACTTTTTATTTTAAAAAGTAAACAAATATGACAACATGTTAACATTTACAAATTCTTGATACAATATCCCAAGATGTTTAATAGTATGGTTTCTACATAGCTTGTGTGTGTGTGTGTGTGTGTGTGTGTGTGTGTGTGTGTGTGTGTAACTTTAAAATAGCTCTAAAAATGCACACCAGGCCTGCAAGTAGTGAAGCTATTCTGTATAATACTGGTGTACAATACTGGAATTGTGGCCATTTGATATTGTGAATTTGGCAAAACTCACAGAAATTAACAGAACAAAGAGTGAATGTTAACATAATACACATTTTAGAAAATCATTTATGATATCAGAAAGAATTGCAGGATGAAATCTGAACTATAACAAAACAACTTAACTATATTAGACATATATAAAACAAGGGTCAGGGATACAGCTCAGCAACACAGCACCTACCTGGTAAGCTCAACGTCCTGAATTCAATCCCTGGTACCAAAAAAAAAAACAAAAACAAAACAACAACAACAAAAAAAAAAACCTGTCTTGATTAGGGCAAGAAATGTATGAAACACCCTCACTAATAGAAGTGAGGAAGTTGCTGACCTCAGTAACTTTAAAAATAAGTAGAGCATATCAAACTACATACAAAAGGAACTGTACAATTTAGCACTGCACTTTAACTGATAAAATACCCAAAGGAATGACTTGACAATTCTGATATTTTGATGTACAGATTTTAAAATTAAGTAGATCAACGGAGAATGGTAGAAGTCAGCTTATCATTGATCAAATGGGAGTTTAATGATAAGCAAGAGAAGAACCTAAAATAGGTAATCAATATGACCAGCCGTATGCACTCCAGAGACTGAGGCAGGAGGATCATCATGAGTTCGAGGCCAGCCTAAACTTCATTGTGAGACTCTGTTTCAAAAACTAAATACACAAATTAATTAATTAAAATAAAATGATCCATGTAGTAATGGGTTAGATTTGGAAAAATCAGTGTGAACTCATTTATCTTAATATACACAGAAATTTTTGCATATAAAAATACAAATTATATGAATTTGTTTATACATATTTATTTTCTTGTTGTTTTGTCAACTGACAAAGCCTAGAAACAAGAAAGGCCCAGTAGCAACAAGCACAACAACTGCCCAGCTTCTAGTTACATTTTCTGATGAGTAGAACCATGGGGGTCCATACAGAAATAGTTGATTCTAGGACTAAGGCAGGAGGAAACACATGAGATAAGCTAAAGACACCCTGTAATGCAACAAATTAAATTCTGAAAACAACAAAAACAAAACCTTGCAATGATATATTCAAAAAGCACAGAAGCCAATTGAAGGACTCCCCATGGGTCAGGGCTCAAACCATTTTAACAATGATCATAAATAGTAATAATAGTAACAATGTCTGAATTGTATTTCAAAACTTAAGTGTCCATGAGTCATGCCAATAATAAATGAAAATAGACAAACTTCCTAAACAGAAGAATCCTAACTAATTTTCACAGCTACTCTGCCCTCAAATTCCTTACTTTTTAAGTGTAGAAAGTGTGTAAAAAAATGTCCTTTAAAAGGTACAATATTGAAAGGGGTAAAGGTTTTAAAACAGAACAGTGTTACAAGAAACATACCAACACATCACCTCACCAAGGGATCATGCTAACACTGAAGTTGATAAAGCCTGCTGCTGTTATGTACCCTGAATGCAATTGATGAAAAGAGCACTTTACTTCAGTGATCTTCCTCTCAGAGTTTCATAACCCAACCAAATCAGAACATTCTAACTGGTAGACATTCTACAAAATACCTGACCACTATTCCTCAAAATTAGCAAATCATCAAAAACACAGGGAAAATTTGAAAAACTGTCACAGTCAAGAGGAACCTAAAAAGATAACTAAACATGGTATGATATTCTTGACGGGATACTAAAACAGAATGACATTATATAAAAATTAAAAATATTCAATGATACACAGACTTTACTTAATATTAATGTATCAATATTAGTTTATTAATTTTTAAACTGTTATTAGTACATAGTGATTACATTCATTGTAGGGAATTGCTACATGTACATAACACCTCTCAATTCTTTTTTCTCCCTCAATATTACTGTACATGTTTGTAAGTCTCCCAGGGATGCTGTTATGAATTACCTGGCTGGCATAAAACAACAGAAATTTATTCTCTCACAATTTCAGAAAGAAGGTGTAGGTCATGGCCATGCTCCCTCTGAGGACTTTAGAGAACTCTTCCTGGCCTCTTCACAGTTCCTAAAGGTTAGTTACCAGGAATCCTTGGGTTACTTGGCTTTGACTGTACCATTGAGATCTCTGCCTCCAGCATTACATAGCCTCTTCCCTGTGTGTTTCTGTCTCTTCACGTGGCATTCTTCTTCCATGAAGAGACCAGTTCTATTGGATTTTGCTCCACCTATATACAGCATGATTTTATCACAAGATTTTTAATGTTATCTGCAAAATCCCTGTTTCTAAATAAGATCAAGTTCACAGAACCATGGATTAAGACTTTAATGTATCTTTTGGGGATCACTGTTTAACCCACTGTTATTATATTAGCCAAAAACAAGAATATGTAATATATCAGAAATCTTCGAGCTTATTCACCCTTTCTCTTGGTAAGCACCCGTGGCATGGACCCAGGAGGAGAACCAGAGTCCCGAGGTCCGGCCATGGTGGGACTCAAGCAGCTTATTCTCCCTCCCTCTTGGTAAGCGCCCACAGCGTGGGCCAAGAGGAAGGGCCAGGAAGAGAACCAGAACTCCTGAGAATGACCATGGTGGGTTCAGGCAGCTTATTCTTCCGCCCTCTTGGTAAGCACCTGCAGCGTGGACCAGGAAGAGAATCATTACCTGTGAGCCTACTGCCTCAGGGGCTGAAAATCAAGCACCCTTTCTCCTCCTGCCCCCCGCATAGCTACTGGGAATAGATGTCTCAGTATCTCTTGGAAGGATGACCATGAGCAGTAGAGCAAATATGGGGGATTTCCTTCTATCTTCCATTTGAAGGCAAAGGTTGTTTGCACTGTTTTGTTTTGTCATGTTTCTTTTGCTCTATTCAGTACTCTCAATTGGTTTTATAACGTTCCATTTTTGGTTTGATTTTGCTATACCTAATTGACTCGACAACTATTGTGAAGTTAACAAGATGTACTATAGTACCTATTACTACTATGCCAGTATCCTACTGTGAAATCCTGTACCAATTTCACTGCATTGTCTCGACTGACTTTGTTCTGTCTTGTGCTGTTGCATTTTTATTACTTTCAAAATAATTTTTTTAAAAATCTTCATTTATTCTTCGTAAATTTCCTGTTAAGCCAAAAACTATTTTGAAAAGTTTTATGTCAGTAAAATAAAACAATAAGAAAAATAATTTTTAAAATAGCTACAAGCAAAAAAACTAATCAAGCATTCATGAGTAGAGCTTACAGTAGAAGTGGTAATTTTTAATAATAGCTGTTCAAAAGCAAGGTACTATTGGTAATTAATGTTTTTATTGATTTTAATAATACTTAAGTGGACTATGTATTTTTCCCCAAACGATTTCTTTTCCTAGAAAAATACTTAACTCAAATGACAGTAAAGCCTCAATTTTCAAAAACTGCTCTAGTATCAAGTATGTCTCCTGCAGCGTCGATGTTACAGACTCAAACCCCGTAAATAAAAGTTCACAATAAAAGTGAATATTGAAAACTTTTATTTCGAGTCAAAGATACACCTCCACAAACCCATACACTTGATAACCCCATGTTTCCTGTGACCATCACAGAGAAACGTAAATTCTGCAGTTGCCATGTTAATTTGTTGAACAAAGAAATTCAAAATTAAGGTTCATTTGTTTCACTAGGCACACTAAATCACTATGTAGTATACAGACCAAGAGCCAGGAAACTCTTCCAAAATCAGCTGACAACTCTTCTTCCAAAAATTACCTAGAAATTAAGAGGATTTAAGGTATTCAAATGATATGTTGCACATAATATGGTAATACCTCCCACACAGTAGACAGACTTCCAACAGTTTAAGTATCTAGAATGAAACGTATCGCCCTAGATGTATGCAAAAGACAAGCTTCTAAAAGAGGAAGTGGGATAACATCACTAAACAATAGTGCTCTACTTTCAAGGAAAAGTACAAAAGCTCCTTCAGGAGAACATTTAATTTATCAAATTAAATAACCACAATCATAGTAAATTAGTGCAATCTGCAATGTTTGAAAGGTTCTAAAAAGAGTTCTAAGGAAATTATTACAAATAGCAGGGTTGGTGGCTGCTAAAACACAACA